AAGAAAAAAAAAAACAGTGGTAATAAAAATGGATTAAAAATATAGAACTTTTTATGTGCCGGACACCATTCTAAATGTTTCTTAAACATTAGCTCATATATTTAGTGCTCATAAAAACCTCTTAAGGCAGGTGCTATTATCCCCAGTTTGCAGATGAGGGAATGGAGGCCCAGAGGCTATGTACCTTGTTCAAAGTCATACAGCTAACACATGGTGAAGCTGGTATTCGGGCCTGGGCAATAAGGCTCTAGAATCCGAAACTGTAACCACTACTCCCTACCGCCTGTGATTACAATTGGCTCTACTTGCTCAGTGGGACTCTTGTCCTCAGCCGTGGAACACACAGAGTGTTCCAACCCGTCTGAAGAGCATGAAAAAGTAAATAAAGTAGCAAAGTTTGTAAATGATTTACTTTCAAAGGACAAAGTTAAGAAGATCCAAGGTTAACCTTATGCCATTGTTCTTCTCAATCACTGTATCAAATAGCTACTGCCTTCCTGTGTGCAGTGCTAGCGAAGGAAATGCTGAGACCTGCCATTTTCTAATGGGGGCTGCCAATCCCCGAGCCTCCCTCCGGGCAAAATTGTCTGGAGACCAAGTAAGTCACAAGTGTCTCACACGTGCAGATGCGCATTGTGATTTATCAAATAGGTCATTGTCTAAAGGGGTTGCTAATTTCACGGGGAATGGTGCGTTTTTTAAAAATCACTTTCTCAAGAAAGTGCTGTAACCGAAAATGCTGTTACCATGATGTAGGAGGACCCATGTTTTGGAGTTGAAAGCCTTTGACCTAGAATAAGAGCGAACAGGTTTTGAAAGAACATTTGATGGGCTCTCCAGTGAATAAAGCACATGAGCTGTGTTTATAGATTTTTGTGAAACCCACATGGCTCCTCTGTAGCTTTTCTGCCTTCTGTCTAGGTTGCCTGCTGAGTGCTAAAATGGCTTTGCGCACGGTGCCCCCATGCAGGACGTTCCCTGTTTCATGAAGTCTAGAACTGCATTTGGAAGTCAAGCTCTGGAAGCGTGATCAAGTGAATGACACGGACAATAGCAGATTTGGGAGATCTTTCTGATCTATAGACCCGTGGGAGATACAGAGGTACAAATGAGCATAATGGGGAGCTAATGTATTCAACACGTATTTATTGAGTACCTATGCTGTGCCAGGAGCTGTGCTAACTCTGGGTAGAAGAGACATACATCTGTAAAAACATGGAACAAACTAACATATAGGTGTTTCCATGCAGGATAGGTCAACCAGAAGTAAGAATTCAACCATGGTATTTCTTGGGCTCCAAGGAATAAAGTCAACTAGGACTTGAAGAAAGAGAAAAGGAGTCTTCGGTGGGAACAGTCTCTTAAGCCCATCCCTTTGGGCACCTGGAAGGTGCCTGGAAATGCACAGTGGGGGAGCTCTGGCCCACTGGGGGTACCTGACGGGCCACGCCAGGGTGGAGCCCACTCACCTGGCCCTTGGAAGCAAACAGACCTAGGTCAGAATGCCCATACCATACCAACTTATTAGCTTAAAAGCATGAAATTTTAATTCCTCTGTGCTTCCCCATCTATGAAAAAAACAACAGAAGTATGTACATCTTTAGGGATTCTTATGAGAATTTAACCAGAAACTGCATGTATCTTGCACTCAGTAGGACTTCCCACACCCAGCCCCTTCCCCTTCCTGAGCTGCCTCTAGGGAAGGGCCCCCTCTCTGCCCCCGCCAGAAGGGAGCCTGTGTTTGCAGCTCCCTTCGTAGCGAGCCCACCCGGAGGTGTCCGGGGGAGGTTTTACAAATGTTGATACAAAATTGTCTCTGGGAGGCTGAGCCTTAAGGCAATCACCAGCCCAGGTGATAAATGAGCGGCTCTCCTAGGTTTCTGAGTTGGGAGCTCTAGGCTCAGACACTCTGACAGACTTCTTTAAGCTGGGCTAGATTGACGCAGAGAACTACAGCTCTTCCTGAAGGACCCTCCCTTAGAGCAGTGGCAAGAACGCGCCTAGTGCTAGCTCAAACTTTCCATGTAACAGGAGCTCTGGGGCCCAGACTCCAAGAGCTCAGCTCTACCAGCCCACACCTCACTCACTGGAGCTCCCTGCGCGGGCATCCTGAGATTGGGGGACACAGGGCTGCCCTGGCCATACAGCAGGGTAGGCGTGTGGGCCTACCGTGGATATATAGCAGCGTGAGGACCCAGGACTGTACTGGGCATATAGCAAGATGGGAGCACAGGGTTGCACACAGTAGGGCAAGGACACAAGTGCCCTGGGCATATAGCAGGGCAGGGGTGTGGGATTACTGTGGATATATAACAGGATGGGGACAGGGCTCTGTTGGGGAAGACCGAGGCTGTGTTTGGGATGGCTGAAGGGCAAAGCTGTTGGGAGTTGAGGGGTGGGCATCCATTTCTGGATTGCTGCCCCCACCCACCACCACACGGTGTTCTTGGGGGGAGGCACTTGGACGCACCCAAGACCTGTTCATCACCATGGATGCAGAGCTCTCTTTGCGGACCAGGAGGGATCTAGAAGCAGACATGGAGACTCGCTTTCTGACTCCAGTCCTGGTAGTCTTACTTTTCTGGGTCTCAGATATTTCCAAGTGTTCGCCCTATTCTAAGTGGATGCAACACCTCCTTCCTCCTGAGACCTAGGAGAGGGGCTTCTGGAACAGCAGTGAGGCTGGCACTGACCAGAAGTTCTGGGGCAGAGCCTTACTGAATCCCAGACGTGTAACCATGGTGGTTCTTGGTTGGCAAAAGCCTGAGACCCAGGCTCCCTGCCCTGTGGAGGATGTGTGCTCCTTGGGGGCAGGAGCAGGGGCTCTAAGTACCGCATCTCGTTTGTGTCCACCCGCGTGCCTCGCACAGAGGAGGCCACACTAAGCCAGTGTGTGAGAAGCCGCATGAGGCACTCAGCCTTGGCCTGCTCTGCTCCAGGATAAACACGGGAGTCGGGTGGGGCAGGGGACTGGGCTAGGAGAGATCAGCATGTCCAGGCCTGCCCGCTCCCGTGGGGGCGAGGAGGAACAACAGCCTGGAAACTTCTTCCAGAACTGTCAGTGTTGACTGGGGAGCCGGGATCAGGAATGGAGGGCTGTGATCCCCAGGCCCAAGGAGGAGGCTCCAGGTGAGGGCCTTCACGCTGTCTCTGTTCCCCAACAACAGAGAAGGGTTTTTTTTTTCCCATCAAGGAAGAAACTTTCCATCCCCTAAGCCCTATCCCGTGACTCTTCCCTTGTTCCGGACACATCTTCCCTGTACCTGCCTCCCTCGCTCCCCAAAACGATAGCCTCATAGCCAGGAGGGCCTCCCGGGGTGCCTGCATCTGAGCACCCCTCCTTAGCCTCCCCAGGCCCACAGGTTAGCAGGGCACAAGCCTTGTCCCGGGGCCAAGGAGGGGATCAGCGTGCAGACTGCAGACAGGCAGGGCTGAATGTGCAGGGGGCACCCATGCCCAGGTTGGCCCAGTGCCCTGGTCTCCAGGCCGGGGAGGGCCAGGCTAGCCCCTCCCAGGGTCTGCTGAATTTAATGGCTACTCTAGTTACCAAATAACTGGTACCACAGCTCAGAAACAAAGTCCAGGGGCTGTTTTTAATCGAGGGTTAGAACAAACGAATTTGCTATTGGTCCTCTCCTCCAACCCCAGAGCTGGACGGGAAGTCCTAGGACCGCTCCTCTCTCTCTATCTGGATCCAGAGGGTCATCCTAGAGTCCGGTGCTTCCCCTCACAGACTCTTTCCCCTGGTCTCCTCTAGGCTCCAGCCGGCAGATCCGCCCAGGGACCAGAGTGGCAGGAAGGCTGCAGAGGCAGAGGAGGGGGGACAGACCCCGGATGTCAACTGGGCTCTCAATATTCTCCCCACCACTCCTGTCCCTCCCCAAGCTCAGCAGCTCACTCTCCCAAAGTCCAAAGAACCCTGGGTCATTGAGCAGGTTGGTGAGTATAATGATGTGGTCGTGGAGGAGGACCGCTCGGGGCTCAGGAAGGCAGTGCCCCGCGCTGCCCTCCTCACAGGCCTCACTCTGGAGGGGCTGTCCCAGGCCTCTGAGACGCATATACAGACCCTAGAGAGGCTCGCAGTACCCTCTTGGTGCCTGGACCCTGCTGTTCTGGCCTCAGGGCCCCAGCTCCACATGCAGGGCGCCAGCAGCCCCAGGGGAAGGACCGCACACCTCTCGGGCCAAACCTGCACGAACAGCAGCACGAAACCTTCCCCTTCTAGTGCCGACCCCCCGCCCTAGCCCCCGAGCACTCACACTCCTTCATCATGCCGATGTCCACACAGCGCTTGAGCCGGCACGCCTGGCAGTGGCGGCGATTGTCCTTGGTGATGCGGCAGTCGCCGTTAAAGGGGCAGGTGAACAGCGCCTTCCGCTTCATGCTTCGCCTGCCGAGGGAGAGAGCACCTGCCACCTCTGTGCTACCCACCGTCCAGCCTCGGCCCTGGCTGCCAGCAGGGACTGTGACCACCCAGGCCTGCCGGCAAGACCCCTGGGATCTCCGCGTCTCCCACAGAGGGTTTGGGGCCCAGGCCCCGGCCGCTCTCAGTGACCACCGCTCCCTCCCCCCACACTCCAGGCTCCTCCTCCTTCTGTCATTGCCTACTCTGCTCCCATCATCGCTTTCATTTATTTATTTTATTTACTATTTGAAAGGATTTATTTATTTATATTTATTTATTTATTTATTTATTTATTTATTATTACTATGATTGCTTTTTTTAAAAAGTGGGCTCTACCCCCAGGGCTTGAACTCATGATCCAGAAATTGAGATCTGCCCACTTTAGCCACTGAGCCAGCATAGCGCCCCTGATTTACTTTGATGGCACTCTACTTCTCACTCTATTATTATTATTATTATTACCACACAGGAAATACATGAATGAATTAGCCTAGTGAAATTTTTAAAAATACTGGGGAGTCTGGGTGGCTCAGTTAATTAAGCGTGGGACTTCAGCCCAGGTCACGATCTCCAAGTTCCTGAGTTCAAGCACTCCCACCAGGCCCTTGGGCTCTGTGCTGAGAGCCCAGAGCCTGGTGGCTGCTTTAGATTCTGTATCTCCATCTCTCTCTGCCCCTTCTCTGCTGGAGCTCTGTCTCTGTCTTTCTCAAAAATAAATAAAGAAACATTTTTTTTTTTACTAAAGAAACAAAAATTCTGAAATCTGTGGAACAGCCCTCACTGCTTTTAGTGAGCCATTACGAGAGGTGAGGGCACTAGTGGCCCCTTTAAGTCATCTAGAGCCTGGAGGTCTGTGATTAGAGCGTCCCTGGTCCAGGAACAGACACGCGCACGGGTGCGTGGAGAAGGGAGGAAGGGCCCAAACCGTAGCTTTAGGCATCCAGGTAACACGTCCAGAGAGAAAAGGCCAGATGAGCGGGCGGAAGCCCTGAGGTCTGGCCTTGGCTTTCCAAAAGGCAGAGGAAGCAAGGATTCTTCAAGGACAGAAAACTACCAAAGGTTCTTAGCTAGGAAGCTGGTCTCCCCGGCCGCTGGTATTCTATGTAAAATTGTGTGTGTGCGTATGTGTGTGTGCGCGCGCGCCTATGCGTGCATGTGCAAGCTTGAGGGCTCATTTTCCTTAATCTGGCTTTCTCCCCTGCTGCCAGCCACACCACATGGGATTTGGGGAGGCTGCATCATCCGTGTCCTACAGGTTCCTCGTGTTCTTCCCAGCCCTAGCAGGGGCAGGCCCCACTTGTTTGCCCCAGGACGGGTGACAGGAGTTAGTTGGGGCGGGATGGTGGCAGAATCACTTTCTCTGTGAGCAGCAGCACCTTCCAAGGAGCTGTGGCGATAGATGCTCAAGCCTTGGAAGCAAAGGCCCGGGTCCAACCGTTTCTTCTCTCTTAGAGAGGAGTTGGCCACACACTAGTTTTATTTCTTGGTGAAAAATGGCTCACTGTTCACATTCACTAGAAGACATACGGAGTTTGAGACAAACATACTCGTTGGCGGATAACGGACAGATGGTTAGGGGACCCAAGAGACTACTTACTGGTGGACCTCCTCATTTCATAGATGGGACCACCGAGGGGAAGAGACTTTTCAGTGAGGTGGTTTAGCAAGAAGTGAAGGCTCCCTGGTTGGCTGTTAGAGATGTGAGGCTCAGCTTTAGCTTCGTGTACAACCCCTCTCATCTCTAGAAACAAGGTGCTCAGTGAGGTGGAGCCCACAGGCAAAGAGCTCCAGGCGGCTGGCTCTTGAGAACAACTCAAGGCCAACCATGACCCAGTGGCTCACGAGGTAGCTGCTTTTGGTTTTGGACCTTGGCTGCCCGTACCCTCCTGTTATGCCTCTTCTGACCCAAGGGGGCCCCAGTAGACAGGGCTACACAGGGAGGTGGAGAAACATGAGGCTATGGGGGTCAAGTCCAGACCACTAAAGGCCACATCCACCCCTGCAGTGACTACCCAGGGAGGACTGTACTTTAGGCTTTTGCCTGCCTTTAAGAAGGGCTTTAGAAAGCCCTTCTCCTTGAGCCTCCATCCATCTATTGTAGTTCTCCAGAGGGACAAGCAAATATGGAGGTACCCTGGCTACCCCGAAATGAGATACTGCCGTCACCACCGGACGTGCGATGGATTCACTCCTTTACTCCTCCCCCTCTTTCCCACTCGTGGCTCCTGTGGCTCTGCCTATTACCACAAAGGCTCAGGCCCCAGAATGCCTGTAATTCTCTAAACTTATTCAAGGGCCAGAAGTTTCTAATTCAGAGTAAACTCTCATTTCCTTTTTTTTTTTTTT